AGCACAGATCAGAAAGACATTGGGAACAACACCACAGGCTCAAAACACCAGTATAGATAGAGCAGTCACTTGAGACTCAGGTTCTAGACAAATCAATCTGAGCAGAGTCTGGATTGATCACAGGAAAGCCTACAACTCAATGCCACAGACATGGAACTGCGAATGCCTGGTGCTATACAAAGTCAACAGGATACTACAGACCTTTCTCAAGAGCTTAATGGGACTGGGGAAGACAACATTGGAAGTCAACTCAAGACAGCTTGCACAAATGGCCATCAAGTGCAGCATATACCAAGGTGATGCACTGTCTCGACTGCTGTTCTGCAGAGGCTTGAACCCCCTCAGCCAGACAATCACTGGATACAGGACTGGATACAGATACAAGTTCAAGAGTGGAATTACCATCAGCCACCTCTTCTGCATGGATGGCATCAAGCTGTATGCTAAGAGTGAATAAGATGTTGACTTGCTAATCCACCTGACACGGCTCTACAGTGAGGACATTGGGATGTCATTCAGAGTGGAGAAGTGTGGCTGGATGGTAGTAAAGAGAGGGAAGGTAGTTAAGATGGGGGTGGAACTACCAGCAAGCCACATAGCAGACATAGAGACCACCTACAAGTATCTTTGTATCCCAGTCACATGGGAACCGTGATGAGGAGGCAAGGAAGACAGCAACAAAATGGCTTCTCCATTTTGGCTTTCTTTTTGTAAAATAAATGATGACATGGTATAATAAGTCATGTCTTGTTATTCATCTGAGGTTGTATTTACCTACTTTTGAGAACTGCTAAGGACCAGATGATTTTTATTATGTCCTGATATGTAAAACCACAGAAGTCAAAGAGGGTGTACTTTCTTTTTCACACAACTGTACATACATACGAAGTAAAAAGATGCAAGAACTTTTTAAAACAAACCCAAGCCGTATTACTAGTGAATAATTATCACTGGAGGTAAATATATAATTTCTTGGGTTTCCAGTTTGGTGCTACAATTTTCATCTTAGAAACATAAATTATCTTTACTATTCATGCATCCTTTTTCTTTAAAGTGCTATTGAATCAATGGAAGGGAACCAGAGGGGACTCAGGCTAAACATGGACAAAGCACTGGAGCATCATTTAAGGAAAAGAATAAGATCATTGGTGTTTGTATCTTGGTTCATGTGCAAGAAGGGAGAACCATCCCTTGCTGTTCATATATGCGTGGGTATGGAAAAGAGTTATTAGTTCCTTGATCTCGGAGAAAGTGCCTGAGATGCATACAAACAAAACAGTTGTTTTAATGGAAAATCCAGTAGTCATGAATTGGAGCTTCACAGGAGAAACAAGACATCTCAGGATAATAATGTAAATCCATAACACTATCTCTTGCTCAGCTAGGTGACAGTTGACTGATCTAAAAAATGATTGGACCTGGTTTGTACTTGAATGGTGAGATATGCTAGAGCTATAGGACAAACTAGAAGTTGAAAAAATATACCCCCACCCCCACCCCCACAGACTGGAAAATCACTTCCATACTGCTGCCAAGAAATCCCTATGGACATATCTGTGAAATCACTGCGAGAAGCTAAGCTTGACTTTAGAAAGACTTTACTATTTATCTTCTTCTTGGCATCATTGAGCCAAAGGTTGCTCAGAACATAGTTTAAAATATCACTATCCTAGATCTCTCTCATGCTCATACTTTACATAATACACATTAACTTTTTATCAACTACTTGGGGCAGTGGAGATCCAGAATGGGTTAAACTCTGCTGCTATCTACTGTCAAGACTATGACCTTTTGAGGTAATAAAGCTGAGCCTCTAATGTAGAGTAATTTGAATGTGCTTGGTATTAGTTGCTTACCTGTGTGAGATTGGTTGGCTCTGCAGTATATGGAGCAGTATTGACGAGAAACAGGATAGGAATGTTTCGCTGGCTACAAAGCTTTATGAAATGGCAACCTTTTAGAGAAGCATTCTGAGTCAGCTCACCATTGTTAGCCACTATTCCAATTAGCTGTCTAACCAAAAAAAACCAAATACAATCTGTACTGTAAGCATACTGGACATCCTGAAGTCAGAACAGTAAATATTTTCTACGCATTTAATAAAATGACCTTATAACAGCAATTTAAAAAGCCATTTAAACAAAATGTTATGTATTTCTTTCGTTTCATGTTAGTCCTACAGACTTATTTAAAAACATACCTTTTTTGGAGCCATGCCAATGGACTGCAATTTTTAAAAGAGAGCCTTGCATTTATTTTTGCTTTATAGAATTAAACAAAATATATCAAACAAAGCAAAGCTAAAACATTAGAAAAGGCAATGTGAAATGAAATACTAGTGAAAAAAACTAGATTAAAAAACCCTCAATCTGTTTTGAAATAAGACTATTTCTTGGGAGAAATTATGAGCTGCATACAATTAAAATGATTAAATATAAAGCAATAAAATAATCTACACATTTTAAAACATCTTTTAATAAAATATAATTGTAAAATAAGGATGAAAAATAATATCTGGACTTAGTAGTCTAAAAAGTCTAAATAATTTAACTATTTGCAAAAATATTGTAAAAGTGCTTCTGAAAATATGTCTGCCCTGCCCACAAATTAGTAATGTGGGCTAATAGTACAGTTGGTTATATTTTTCATAAGCCTAAGTATTCCCTTTTGAAAACTAAATATTGTTCTTATTTTACTGGCAAGACATAGTACAGCACATTTCAGAGGTACTACAAAACCAAAGTTAAAAGGCCTGAATACACATAATAGATTCAGCTACTAAAAAGTATGCCCTGTTTAATCATGTTTTATTGAATAAACAAATTTTGGCTTAGCTTATCAAAAATGCTAGTTTAAACTAAATAAACTAGACTATGGTCAGCCAACTGTGGACTATTCAATAAATCAAGCAGCTACCTTAGCACTATTTGTGAACCTAATTCCTTTCTTAAAATGGGGCACCAAAACTGATCAACTCAGAACAAGGTAGAGATTTTATTTCATATTTTCTCTAATAAAATTGGATAAATCAGAAGCTGAGGACAATTTGAATAAGGATTCTAAAATGGACTTTAAAGAAATGCTAGACTATAAGCGAGACAGGGAAGATATGGAAAAAGATGCTGGGGATCTGAAGATGGACTTAAAGTCGCTTGATTATGAGAATGATATGGAGAAAAAGCGACTGAGATGCATACAAACATAACAGTTATTTTAATGGAAAATCCAGCAGTCATGAATTAGAGCTTCATAGGAGAAACAAGATATCTCAGGATAATAATGTAAATTAAATCTAAAGTTCCTTCTGCTGCTCCCTTCATCCAATGCCCTACCCGTCTTCTTTCAGAATATATAACTATCAAAAGTGGTAATCTTCCTAGCTTGCTAAAAGTTATAAAGAAAAGTATGTACTGGTGTAACACTAATTACAACTACTTGTCTCTCTCCTGGCCAAATAACACCCTGTCAAATATTTCATGTTAATATCTCATCATTACTCAGGTGCTTTGTTTTTAGCCAATACGCAACACTCAAGTGAAAGGGGTCTAAGTTATTGATTTTCAAATTTCAATTCTGAGAAAAATGGCAACATTTTATACAGAGCAATTCCTGCCTGTTGCAACTATATGTAGCTATACTAAAAGAAAAATTAGAAATTGTAACATGCTTTTTAAAAAAAAAATCCATAACACTATTTTTTGCTCAGCTAGGTGGCAGTACCTAATTGACCTTGACTGATCTAAAAAAGTAAAGAAAGGTTGGGCCTGGTTTTTACTTGAATGGTGAGATATGCTTTCAGAGCTATTCTACTGTGGAAACCCAGAAGGGAAACACTAAATCTCTGAAATCTTTTCTGAAAATAGAAATGACAGAGATTACTATATGGGATTTTATTTGGAGAAAAGATTGAAGATTGATCCTTTTAAAAAGAGAAAGGAATTTAAAGTGGATTTATCAGATCAGGGTTAAACTGTGTAAGTTTTAATCCTGGGTTGTTAATACTGAATTTTCTTTTTCTGACCAGGACTGTAGGACAATGATTTACACCTGTAAAATGATTTATTTGGTTTAATTTAAAATACACATTATTATTATTGGTCTTTCTTATGCTTATGGGAAGAGATTTTTTTATGTTTTATTTGTCAGAAAAAAATTTACAAGTTAAAATGCAAAATAGATTTGTTTAAGCTTAATACATAGAGTTTATTACCACTGGTACTCTTAATGCTTTTACTGATTAGACTGAATATTTTTTATAATTTGGTTATTGTTTAGGGATGAGAAATGGGATAAAGAGGGCTTTTTTCTGTAATATTAGAGAAAGTGTTATATTACTGTTAATGCGTAGGCTTGTTTGGAGGGAGGGGGAAGTCACCTTTTATATCTTTTTCTTTCTCTTCTCTTTTTTCTTCTTTTTTTTCTTTTTGTTTGTAAATTCTTTAAGTTCTGTGTTAGCTTTTATAAATGTAAAACTTTAATAAAAATATTATATAAAAAAAGAACAGAGTAGAGATTTTATTTCATATTTTAAGGTATGATGCAGACAGTACTCAGCTTCTGGAGCTAAACTTTTATATTTTGGATAAGTTCAGCTCCTAGACCTTAGCTCCTAGGCCTAGTGAGTTAATGCAAGAAGGAAAAGAAGGTTCAAGGAGGGACGAACTTCTTTTTTGATCTTCAGAAGAAATTTCTAAAAGCTTCAAAAAAGGGATTAAATCTAATACTCAACATATCTGGTTTGTTTCCCTCCTAAGACATAGACAAACTGAACTACTAATAATTAACCAACTATAAAGTGCTTGCACTTTTAAATATGCTAACATAAAATATATCATTTTCCTATCTAAAGACAAAAATGTATTAAGTGAATATTAAATTCATAGGTAAAGATTACTGCAGTTAACATTACATATTATATCAATCATCATATGTAAATAAAATTTAAAATAACATAACATTCCAATTCAAGAAAATATTTTTTCATTTGACAACCGGAAGAAAATAGTATAATTTTATGAAAAAAATTAACCAAACAAGTTCAAACAACCTTAAATTTCATTCCTAACATAAATTTCTGCTTTATTTATTGAAGAGAGAACAAAAATATCAACACAATGAAGAGACATTACCAAATGCCTATTAGAAAAGCCTCCAGCACAAGATTTTAAAAACGTCAAGATGTTATGACTAATCTTTTACGTCATGTACTTAGAAACAAGGTTAATATCATTAGAAAATATTAGGATTCTAAAAAATAACTCTTTCACATATTACATGAAACTTAAATATTTGAGCTTTTAAAAGTTTTGAGAGCTTGCAAAAATAGCCTTATTAACAACCCTAGGGAAATAAAACTAGTTGCTTAAGAATTCAAACTGGCAGAATACCGAAGGCAGTATTTCTTCAGGTTCTTTCATGTTATATTATAAGCACTTACTAATCTAAACTTGGCTTAAACAGCTGATTTTACAGATTGGATTTTCTGCACAAGAAACCATTACACAAAAATGCAGCATCACAAAATTGCTAAAACAGAAGTAGCCCATAATATCTAAAGGTATTGGTTATATTGAGTGGACTAAAGCAGAGATGGTCAAAACATCGCTACACTTAGAAGAAACAGCAACATGCCAATCTGGCGCTGTGTTTCACTTTAAAGAGGCTGGGTATACAGTGTATACTGAAGAACATTTTGTTAAGAATGCATGTTATGAAAGACTCACAAAACTGCAGTGTTATGGATGAAAAAGGCATCCTTACGATTGTTTGGTGAGATCCTCTTTTACTCAGTAAGTTAAGGTTAGATAAATACTCATAATCAAGCAGCACTAAAGAATACAGCAGGGAGGAATACATTTTTTCACATGAAATACTTTGAAAAACAAATTAAGCTTTTTAAGGGAAAAAGAGTTAAAGAGGACTTCGTTATGCATCATTAGCATTGTGATTATCTAATGCATACACACATCCTCAATGATAGTCCATTTAGCATTCACATATGCAATAAAAATATTACTGTTGTAGGGAAGCTAGAAAAATCAGACTTCCCTAGAAACTGAAATAACAATAAGCAGAGGATTGCAACTACCTAATGATTTTATTATCTAAAACAGTGTTTTTCAAACTGTGTTGAGCAGAATCTTAAGGCTCTGTTGGAACTTGATTACGATCCATGACTAAGGGCAAAAAAAAAAAAATCACTTGAACTGAGTGCATTTTCTATCACTAGAGCTCTGGAATTGTGGCTGTGGAATTCTTCTCTTTTTTTTAACTTACAGGTTTTCCAGTTTGAAAAACTTTGATCGAAGAAAGCTGATAGGGCTTCAATTCAGGAAATAATTATTCTTGAAGATGAGGCTTGGAAGCTGGCAGTAATCTGCAGCATATCAGCTTCCAATTTTTTAAAAATTAAAATATTAATTAAAAGAGGTTTTAAATGTTGGAAGGGGCAAGGAGCTTAGGGGGGACCAAGAAAGGTCTTGCAAACAACACAAGAAAATAACACATGGTAGCAATTAAAATTTAAGATAACAGTAAAAGTGGGAAATAATATTTGATTTTTGCAGGTACAAAAATCCCAGCATGTTTTCACAACGATAAAGTACATCAGAAACTTATTCTGATTCTTATTTAGTGCAATTATTATTTTTTAAATTAAGCCCAGGGCAATTCTATGAACTTAACTCAGAAGTAAATCCCACAAAGTTCAGTGATGATTACCTCAGTATAAAGGTACTCAGGATTGCAGCCTATGAACTGTGCACCTACTACAATACTGGGTTGATTTAGATAAAATGACTCAATAACCATTAACATATTTAAGTCATTTATTTTGAACACTGCATTCATAAAAATTGTAAAAATAACCTGGCCCATTTATTTTATATTCACTCTTACCCTTCTATGCAGGCAAATCCTGTTACCAAAGTTATTCCATAATTAGCTTTGAATTCTTGGAATCTGCTGCCATCTATTATCCGACTCAGAATCTATAAAAGATTGTTTTAAAGAAATGAAAAATCAATATGAAGTCTTTTTTTCAGTGAAAAACTATTGGCTGATTTTCAATTGTTAATCTGAAAATCAAATACAGAATTACATAAAACATTTTACTCGAGGACAAAAAAATAAGATGCTTAGGCATCAAATGTATACTCAGAATTTAATTTATTTTCAGTCTTGAAAATTCTTTTTCTAATTAACCAAATCACCTCAGCAGCATATCTATGCATAGAGGAATATATAAATGCCAGCAACAATAATGGCACTAGTCTATTACATCAATATTAGTAGAAATTCTAATAAGACTCTAAAAACTTATTCGAATTTTTTCTATGTATAACATCTCTGTAGCCTTAGTTGACTTTATTAGATGTATACTGTGATCCTCAATGAAGAGTAAACATCCATGTGAAAATACAGGTTTACACTTCATATACGAAATAGATTCTGGCCCACAAAAAAAATACAATAATAAAACTGGTAAGTTTTTAAGACGCTCTAGCTATTCTTATTGTTTTCAGTAGTAGAATAAGCATCCGTAAATGGTCTAAGCATGTTAAGGGCCTCAAGACTTCTATTTTAACCATTCTTAGCCGCCCAGTTAGATTGCTCAGTCTTCTTAAATCAGTGTGAATTATATAAATCAATTTAACTATGTTCAGACCTGCAACTGGATTCTTACCAATTTTATATGTAGTGTGTAACTGTAATCTTGTGGTGCAAGTCCTAGGAGGTCATCATCACTGTACAAGGGATTATCAAATTCTAGACTCTCTTCTATAGGCATCACGTAATTCAGTGTTGAAACAGCATTTCTAATACATTCATATGCTTCTTTTTCAGAAGTTGCAAAATGATCAACACAACCACTGACTCTGAAAAACAGATTTCCTAAATATATATCTAGTATAAAATACAACATTCAGGTTAAACTATTAAAAATATTAGTATTAATAATAAAAACATGAAAGACTAAGATCTATTTTTAAATAATAGCTATACCCAAGGAAAAGAATATTAAATATTACTTTTCTTGATGCTACTTCAAAATGCACATTTGAAAATGTTGCTACTATATGTGGCCCTCTGAATTTCTGAAATACAGTCATTTGAATAGAGATATGCCTGTGTTCAAGGCAACCTAGCAGTCACTCTTCCTAAGCCAGATGGCTTATTGTGCATGACTTAGTTATGGGAAGTACAGGGTGCAAATAGGGCTGTGCAGCAATCCGGACTTGAAAGACAAAATGTGATTTGGCTTGCACGTGTGTATGCACACAGCACCTTAAATCAGCGACTTCTTTTATCCAGCTCAATCAGCTACCTGCATTGGTGACATACTATCATGGGAAAGATGCATTTGGTTAAAGGTATTCTCAACAGGCAAATGTACATGCCCATGCATCCTCCAAATCACATTATGTCTTTGCATCAACATTACTGCACAGCCCAAATGTACAAATACTATTACTTTTATTGTTACAGCATTCACACTAGTTAGAGATTCTACTTTCAAAGCAAGTGATGGAACTGAGCCTTTATGCATTTGAATCAAATTAACTAAAACTTGTATTGGCAAAGCTTAGATATAATTTTAGGTCTAGTGTGATACATAATCAACAGAAGTGCAATAGAATGATGTATCAATAGCTCCTGGTCACAGTTGTACATTATAACAAAGAGGCACAGTATAATCAGAACCATGTCTACTCAGAAATAAGTCCTAACTACAATAGGTTTATATGCATGTTAAATTTAATAATATTTCACCATAAGTGCTGAGGCTGAATCAAGATCAAAATTCTTGTATATCTAGATTTTCTATCCTCAAGGTCTAGATTGTCTAGATTGCAATAATTTCTAAGGTTGTGTATTTGCATATCACATAGAACACATTCCTAAACACTGCGTATGCACACATACACACAAAAGAACTGAACCACACATAAAAGTTTCTTTCTAGATCTCACCTGTTTCTAAATTTAGTTGACAGTAATTGATTGAAAGTCAAAGTAATGGTGTTTTACTTGCACTTAAAGAATTCCATATACCCTCCTTTGGGGAGTCTCTATATATCCCTTAAAAGTTCACCCAAAGTTGAAAGATCTTCCGAAGTATCATTTGCCAAGGTGCTAGGTATTCTACCAGGAAAAGGTATGGCCCATAAAACAACATTTTTACTTTAAGTAACTAGTGGACTGAAAGAAGTGTTTGAAAATAATTTTTGCATGCAATACTAGTAATCCTTATTCCCTGCTCTCTTCTTTTACATTTTAAAAGAAAATAAACACTAACATTTTGAATGAGCTGCAGAAAATCCTAGACTTTAAATGTGTTAAAAATATGGTTTTACAAAAGGCCTTAGCAAACATACAATACAAAAATCCCTTGCCTAATACAAGATCTGAAGTGTCAAATACAACTGCATCATCCCAACAGGTGGCAAACCAACATCTGTTTAAGTAATTCCAGTGAGGATGAGCCTAACATCTGCTGAAGCAGTCTGTTATAGTACTGGAAGTTTTAGCTCTTAGAATTACTATGGTTGGTCGCAGTTGGCCAGATATTTAGACTGGATTTGGCATTTTTGTCCACCCACTGAGTCCTTCCCAAGGACCTGGGATAGGCAGATGTCATTGTTTAATAGTGTTGAAGATATTGTTGCAGGATGTAAGCTGTTCCAAGTAAAGCTGCCTTTTGCAATTGATTGATTTTGTCAATGCCAATGGTGTTCAAGTGGTGCTCCAGACATTTTGGAATTCCACCCAAGGCGCTTATTACTACTGGTACTGTCTTTGCTTTCTTTTGCCACAGTTGTTCTACTTCTATTTGCAGGTCTTTATATTTTGTGATTTTTTCCAGTTCTTTCTCTTCTATTCTGCTGTTTCCAAGTATTACAATGTCCATGATCCAAACTTTTTTATCTTTCTTATCAACAATTGTTAAGTCGGTGATGCTGTATAGCAGATGCTTGTCTGTTTGAAATTCTAAAATCCCAGAGCACATTGGCTTCTTCATTTTCTATTACTTTGTCTATTTGGTCCCACAATTCTATTCTGCTGTTTCCAAGTATTACAATGTCCATGATCCAAACTTTTTTATCTTTCTTATCAACAATTGTTAAGTCGGTGATGCTGTATAGCAGATGCTTGTCTGTTTGAAATTCTAAAATCCCAGAGCACATTGGCTTCTTCATTTTCTATTACTTTGTCTATTTGGTCCCACAATTATTATTATTATTTTTATTATTATGGTTGGTCGCATAGTCAGCCAGATGTGACTGGATTTGGCATTTTTGTCCACCTATCCAGTTCTTCCCAAGGAAGGATAGGCAGATGTTGTTGTCTAATAATATTAAACATATCGGCGTAGGATGTAAGCTGTTCCAAGTAAGGTGCCTTTTGCAATTGATTGTATTATTGCTGGTCACACAGTAAGCTAGATACTTAGACTGGATTTGTATTTTTATCTACTTATCAAGTCTTTCCCAAATTGTTCTTATTATTTCCCCAGTGAGGTACTACCTTGATGTGGTTGTGGGGCTTGCATGCTCCAAGGAGGATGAGAGCTATGTCAGAGGTTCAACCACACTGGAGAGGTCTCATCAGAGTAGCCAGACGAAGAGTGTCTCTCCCATAAACAATATGGTGAGATGTAATTTACAGAAACTTATACCAGATTAGTTGTTGCCCGGATCAACAAGGACCTATCAAGTCCTTCCCAAGTTTTTCTTGTTATTGTTGTTGTATTGTTGTTATATTTTTATCCCACCTTTTGTAATATATATTTTGGTCACCTCAAGGCGGCAAACATACATAATACAGTATACATATGTAAAATGCCTATTTTCCCCACAACAACAATCCTGTGAGATGGGTTGGGCTGAGAGGATATGACTGGCCCAAAGTCACCCAACTGGTTTTCATGCCTAAGGGAGGTCTAGAACTCACAGTCTCCTCATTTCTAGGCCAGCATCTTAACCAAACTGGCTCTCTCTCGAAAAAAAAAGATAGATTGATTGACAGACAGACAGACAGACAGACAATCTGCTTCATAGCAATGTCTATTTGTTAGGGAAGGTTCTACCTTCTAGAGCAATGTTGATTTGTTTTCAGTATAAAAAAACTTCAAATATCTGAAGAAAACTACCCCATTTCCCCTTAATCTTCTCTTGGTCAAATTAAATATGCAAACTCTTTTAGCTATTTCTCATAGTTAGAGATGTGCAAAATCTTCCATGGATGGAACAGCTGTTTTTGGGTAGCTTGTCCCCAAACCAAAACATGCCTGTTTTATATTTTGGTTCTTATATGGAATGAAACGGGGCTGTTTTCTTTTGAGACCATCACAATAAAGTATAGGTGCACAGGCCAGTACACTGCAGCAGTAGTTTAGGGGAAGCAATGGAGGGAGGGAAGAAATAAAATGCTGGAAAGATTATGGGGATAGGCAGCCAACACACAGGCTATGTAGTGGAGGGGAGAGGGGGAAAATTGGCCAGCCTTACCCTACTCATCCTGTAGATCTGTCCAGTATCGTTTGTGCCAAAACTTGGAACAACAAGAACAACCAAAATATTCTGGCTTTTGTTTCTGCTCAGTTGTGGTTGATCCAAAGAAGTTTAGCAGATCTTCCAGAATGAGACACTTTCTTTCAGATTCAAAACAAAACATATTCTCCATTTTGTGCACACCCCTATTCATGCTATTTTGTTTCCAGTCTCCTGACCATTTTGATAATTCTCCTCTGGACATATTCCAGTTTGGCAATTTCTTTTTACACTGGCTTGTCTTCTACTAGATAGTTTCAGCATATTTCAGGCATTTCTTCATTATAGAAAATTAATTCCTATAAAAGAATACCTATGACTGAATGTACAATTCAATTGATATTAAGAGCTGAGAAACTAATGTTTTACTTAGCATGCAGACTGGCTCCCCCTAGTTCTTCAGGATGAGTGTCTTCTCCTGTGGCTGCTTTAACTAAAGGGGGACCACCAAGAAACACTGTCCCAATTTTATCTACTATGGCCGTTTCTTCTGCCATCACAGGAATATAAGCACCTCCAGCAGTACAAGAGCCACATACAATTGACACCTACAAGACACACCAAGAGAGCTGTGTAAGAAAAAATAGATAAAATTAAATTTAAATTTCTAAGTAAGTTTTAAAGGCATGCTATCTTCATGACATATTTCTGAGAAGCAGTATTTAGTGACTCATCTCAGAAAGCACCATAGTAACAAATGAATCAAGATTTTTATTTTAGGATACAGAACCAAAACTGCCATCTAATTTCTACATTACAACAAAAATAGATAATAAGTATATAAACAGTGTATAAACATGGAAAGCATAAGTGTACATTTCTATTTACTCCGTAACTCTGGGTGGTGGGAAATCTTATTTTGGTTTGATATATACCCCAAATCAGACACAACCTACTGGAATTTTGAAATGACTTACGTTTACATTTTTCTGAAGAGGTAATACTTTTATATGACCCACTAACTGTGCCTCAGTAATTCACTGCAGAGAATAAGATAAAGAAGCTAATATAAATGCTAAACGTACTCATTAATTCATTAACCAGAAATCTCTCTACAAAACTGTTTCTGGATCATAACAAGGAGAATTATCAACAAATGAAAAAATTAGCTGCTACATGTCTCTTCTGAAATATTATTAAGTGCTATGCTCAATAGTTGTTTATTCTTCTGCTTATTAACTTAATTTTGCTGAAAAATATATTTTAAAATGTACTATCCAATATAATATCACACCTGAGGGATTTTCAGTGCAGACATTACAGCCTGATTATAGAAAATTCGGCCTCCATGGAACTGGTCAGCAAACAGCTCTGCCTAACAATTCAGAGGCAGAAAAAGCAAGAGAAAACAATGATAATGAGTTTCAGCAATGTATAAATTTAGAATCTTTAAACATCATTTGCATAATCAAACAAAAGACATATTCAGTTTCTGTATTACATCCAGTTTTAGAAAAGCAATGCTAGACAGTGTTAGTTTTTCAAGATTTCATTTGTTCTTTTTTCATGCAGTGACTGAATAAAGCTAAAGCTTTGTTAGACAAAAATTTACAAATCCTAGGTCTGTCTAGAGAAAAATGTTCTTAAGAATGGCATGTCAAAAGTTTTTGAAGATACATTTTTATCTTTTGTTTTATTACCTTCTTTCAATATATTTGTTGTGTTATCTTTTGCCAATGGGGTTTTCTTTGGCTGAATAGTATTTTTTTTTAAGTAAATATAATTTGTTAAAAGCAAATTTGTTTACATTAGTCTCTTACATTAACCCTTTCAGAGCAAAGTTAAACTTATGTGGTAAAAACTTTCCCCTGGATCCATTTGCTTATGTTTCCAAATTAAGGCAAAAGGGATCAGATACTACCCAAAATGAATACGGACAGTGCCTTCCTACCCAATAAAATAAAAATAATTTATAAGGAGTTGCACTGGGAATACAATCTGTTTTATGTCACTGGTAAAGGTTTGAGGTTATAACCCCTCTCTCCCAGGAAGAACACAATGAAAAGGGGAAAAGCAAGTTTCCTAATTGTTATAGAAAATTTGCATTCAATTTCCAATTCTCACAGGATTGCCCAGTATCAAAAACACTCCTCTCTGCTATTGGCAAAAACAATCTTAACAATCTTTCCGCCCCTGACACGTGGTCCGCGGCCATTTTTTCCGCCCTGCTGCATGGTCAGCGGCCGTTTTTTCTGCCCCTGACGCGTGGTTCGCGGACACCGGAACGGATTAACGGTAATTACATTGAACCTCATGGGAAAATTTACTTCTACTTGCGACCAACTCAACTTGCGATCAGAGTCACGGAACGGATTAAGTTCGTAAGTAGAGGTACCACTGTATTTTATTTTTGCTTCAATGCTATTTTTCAGTATGCAGTTTGTTGAGTCATTCAGGTTTTTAGTAACAATTGCCATAAAAACTCATTCATAATCTATATTTCATTTTGCTCTTGTAGTATGAGTTTGTATTCTACCAACATGTTTTTGGACCCAGAAGCGAAAACTGACCACACCAGAAATGGAAAAGAATAATTTTAAAGCAGATTTTTAAAACTTGATATACCATACATACTCACAAATAAGCCAAGAATTTTAGGTGCCAAACTACACCAAAAAAATTGGATTTCACTTATCCACAGATGGGATTATCTGCAAATATATACAGTAATACTTTTTAAATGTACCTTTATATCCCTTATATATCCATGGGTAAGCCCAGCCACAGATAAGCTAACCCTCAAATTTTTAACCAAAATACCATGAAAAATGGGTAGGCCAATTGGGTAGGCCAATTGTGAAAATTAAAACAATAGAAAATTTCAAGGGTCGGCTTATCTACACGTGGCACATTTTTCATGGTACTTTGGTTAAAAATTTGAGGGTCAGCTTAACCGCAGATGAGCTTATATGCAAGTTGGTATGGTATGGTATGGTATGGTATGGTATGGTATGGTATGGTATGG